ACTCTTGACCCCTACCCTTACCACAATCTTACACTCTACCCATACTCCCCCACAACCCTTCATACTCACCCATACCTACTCGTAGGGGTCGGGGTAGGGAAGTTATGTGTGGGGGTGGGGTAAGGGGTATGGTCAGGGTGGGGTGGTAAGGTCTAGGGGTTGGGGGTTGGGTGGGGTAGTGGGTGGGTTAGGGTCATGGTTAGGGGTAAGGGTGGGGTAGTGGGTAACGTTTGGGGTAAGATAGAGGTAGGGTATGGAGTTGGGATAGGATGGCGGTAGGGTGGGGTCGGGACCAGGGTGGGGTGGGGGTAGGGTTGGGGTTGGGGTTGGGGTTGGGGTAAGGTAGGGGTAGTGGGATAGGATGGCGATAGGGTGGGCCCGGGATCTGGGTGGGGCCGAGGTAGGGGAAGGGTAGGGTGGGGGGGATGGTGGTGGGATGGCGGAAGGGTGGGGTATGATGGCGGTACGAGGGTGGGGGTAGGATGGCAGTGGGGTGGGGCCGAGGTAGGGGAAGGGTAGGGTGGGGGTAGGATGGTGGTAGGATGGCGGAAGGGTGGGGGTAGGATGGCGGTACGAGGGTGAGGGTAGGATGGCGGTGGGGTGGGGCCGAGGTAGGGGCATGTGGTAAGGGGTAAGGGGTAATATATGGGTGGGGGTAAGGTAGGGTGGGTCGGGGTGGGGTCGAGGTGGTAGGGGGGTGGCGGTAAGGTAGGGTGGATCGGGGTGGGGTAGGGTCATTATAGGGAAAAATGGGTATGCGGGGTGGGGTTGGGTGGGTAGGGTATGGTAGGGTAGGGGTAAGGGTAAGGTACAAGGATGGAGGTACCGGAATGGAATCAACATCGGAGCGGGACCGGACCCTCCACTAGGTGTAAGTATGCAAATTCATTGCAGCGGCATTGTAGCATCTGCGTTTTCTAAATTTGGAAAATTAGTAAAAGTCACTTCTCCAAATCATTAAGGAAAAGAGAGACATGTCTCATTTTTTCCGTTTTGGAAAACGATTTGGTAAACGCGTTTTTCTTTTTTCCTTTCTCCAGTTTTCCAGGAATTTCGTTGGTAAACACGTTTCCTGTTTTCTATTTTCCAATTTTCCAGTTTTTTGGAAAACTGGAAAATATCTCTGTTAGTAAACAGGCCCTAAGCTTTTTAATAAAGTATAAAGTGGTTATTAATAAAGTGGTTCAAAAATAAAAGTAGTAGTTGAAACTTTAGTACAATGAAATGAAATAATATGGACCACAAATTTCTTACCAAAAAGGAAAACATGACATCCATTTTGAAACAACCCAAAAAAGAAAGTAAGACAACCAAAATGGGACGGAGGGAGTAATACTTTCATCTCAAACTTTTAAAACGTGTGTAAGTTATCAGACTATTTTTTCGCCTATCATCTTCTTCGTGGAATCCATCGCCATCATTTGAGATTCAGCGTAAATCATCGCTGCTTATTAGGTTCTCGTTGGCACCGTCGGAAATCGAGATGTTACTGCCACAGTTGATTCTAAAGATCGCACGCACCTGAGATTGTCTTTGTTAATCATTGTATCCAGAAGAAGGCGACTGGGAAACGACCAATTGAGCCAGTGATTGATGATTTATGGTTCTGCGACAGGTTGGAGGTCGGAGATTGAGTTTGAGTTCGACATGTTGCATTCCTAAATGAGGGTCATTGTAATTCTCGAGGTTAATTTAAAAGGATTAATAGCGCTACTCATACAGGTGCATCTCCTTTTATGGGAGTTCATGTGCTAAAAACTTTAAGTTAAGCGTGCTTCCACGGAAGTAATCTTGGGATGAGTGACCCTCTGGAAAGTCTATCAAGATGCACAGTGTGCGGTAAAAGGCTCATGTTGGTTTATGAGGACAGTACTATCAATATAAAAGATACAAGGGAAAAATACGGAAAAGATACTTGTGATTGGATCCGTTTTCAGATAGGATCATGTGTTTTATTCTTTATCAAAGTGGCTCATGTGCTTGAATTCCATTATCACAAGAGGGTCACGTCGTTAAAAACGTCTGAAAAAGACCGTTAAAAGTAACTCTGATGTTCAAAAGTGCCCAAAAATTAAAAGAAAAATATCGGAAGGTGTGCCTCAATTAGACGGCCGCTAGGCCATCTTTCTTTTTCAGTTTTCAACCACCCTTGTCACCCTAAAGTCCACCGGAAAAATGATATTAGCGAAATCATTTTTAAAAAATAAATCAAACAGATCTGAAAATCCAAAGGCGAAGGTGGTCTGGAGGCCATCTTGACGAGGCGCACCTTTCAGTATATTTCTTATAATTTTCCGGACACTTTTGAAAATCGGAGTTACTTTTAACAATTTTTTTCAGACGTTTTTAACGGTGTGACCCTATTGTGATAACGGAATTCAAACACATGAACCACTTTGATAAAGAATGGAACACATGACCTAATCTGAAATTGGTCCAACCACAAGTACATTTTCCATACTTTTCCCAAGATACAATTAGAAAAATGGTTAAACTACGCATTTTGACCTATACACTCTAAAATTTTGAAATCAATAACAAGACATTCCATACATAAGAATTCAAATGAGAGCTTGAAAGAATATCATCTCATATCTTCAAACCAACTCTCAACAAAGTTCGTCCTTGTTCTTCAACACACTAGGAGATCTTCATCTTCATATCTCGCCTACGGAGAATTTTGAGGAAACTCTTTGTTTCTAACAAAGGAATGCTTTTTGCACAAGAAGGGGCACCAAAGTAGTTAGATAGAAGTGAGGATACTTCCAGATATCTAGAAAATGGTTAATCATTAGGGATTTGCTTGCATTCCCGGGTGACAATGACACTACTCTTTAAGCTTGAACTTTGTACCTTGACAGATTCCGCTCACGAGACTTAGAAGCCAAATCGGATTTAGAGTGTTTCTAGGCTACCCGAGACTAAACTTGAATATTCGAATGCAAGACTAAATTTGTGAGATTTAGTCCCAACTCTATTGACATATAGATTCTATTAACTAGAAAATAAGATTTCAAAGACCGGCTATTCACCTCCTCTAGACTATGTTGATGTATTACTAGCAATACTATCCTAAAGTTGTCTTCAATGAAGTGGGTTAAGAGGATTTCAGTCATCCTGCTTCTTTCTTAATCATTTAAACTTCTTCCATCATTTGTTGACTGTCTCACTGTTGTTGAACTGTGTTGCAAGAGAATATGCAGTCAGGGCTAGTGTGGATGTTGGAGTTTTCACTTTTTCATTTATGGGGTTGCTACTACGGAGTATTAATTAAGAGTTGCAGGAGCTATAGTTACATGACTTAAAGGTCGTATGGTGTACTCAATCGGGTAGTTCTGAGAGTAAATGAGGTTGTAATAGAGTAGATATAAATAGAGTGAATTGGGTCAAGTTCATGTTCTTTGTGTTTTAGATTTTGTAATACTATCGGATGTGATTGGTAATGAGTGGAGATTGTGATTTTTAAATTTAATACTATGTATAATTCTTGTGAATGAGCTACCCCAATTATTGTTTCATTACCTCACTCTCCTCATTTTGGTCTCACTTGTAGCGTTAAGGGCATAAGGGCATTTCTGGAATGTTAAATGCAAATTCTAATAATCTAATCTACCTAAAATAGAATGCTAGTTAAAGTGTGAAGTTCTTTCCAAGAGGGAGCAACTAGCAAGTAATACTATGTTATGCCACTTTTAGGGAGTGTCTGCAACAACTTAAAAAAAAACAATTCTCAGCTTTTGACTTACAAAAACATTTATTTACAAAACACTACCAAATTTTACTTTTTCTCGGCTTGCGTGTGAAAAGTGTTTTTCCCTTTTCTATTACACAAAAAACTCTTATTTTACCAAACACTACCAACTTTTACTTTTCAAAATCATTTTTTTCTCAAACACTATGAACTTTTACTACTAGGCATGGACTCGGGCCGGGTGACCCGACCCGGAACCGGCCCGGGACCGGTACTGTTCTGAACCGGCCCGGCGCCCCGGCCCAGGGGGTTCCCAGTGCAGGCTCGGGTCACCCAAAAGCCGAACCGGCTCGAGCCCGGTTCCGGACTTTTTAATTTTTTTTTTCTCAACTTTTTTTACTTTTCGGGTTGGACTGGGTATTTTGGGCCATTTGGGGTGGTTTGGGGGGTTGGGGGTGGGGGTGGGGTTAATTAGGAAAAGGAAAAAAAAAAGACCCGAGGCCCGGCCCGGACCCGGACCGGACCCAGTGGCTACCCGGGCCGGTCCCGGTTTTTCCTTCCCAAAAAAAAGCCCGTCCCGGCCCGGCCCGGATCCATGACTATTTACTATTAATCACTTTTTCGTTACATCTCCAAAAGTGTTTTTTTAAGCAAAAGCAGTTGCAAATACTCCCTTAGTCTCCACTATTGCATCAACATCTTTGTTGCATGTCTTTGAATTTTTTTCTCCGACTATTATCACAATAACACTTACGGTATTTCACTTAATGTGACTAATTATAGTTGAATGACCAAATGTGTCTTTCTAATAGCTAGAGGACTAAAGGTGTTATAGTTCAAAGTCCAGTGCTAAAAATTAGGTGTGGACTCGGGCCGGTTTGGGCCCGGTTCGGGCCTGGGCCCGGCCGGGCCTCGGGCCAAGAAAGTTGGGCCCGAGCCCGAACCGCCGGTGGGCGGTTCCGGTTCCGGTTCCGAGCCAAACCGGGCCTAACCGGTTCTATTTTTTTTTTTGGCTCTTCTATTTAACCCCCAACCCCTCCCCCTCAACCCCAAACCACCCCAAACCACCTCAAATGGCCCAAAATACCTAATCCAACCCAAAACTTAAAAAAATTCAAAAAAAAAATTAAAAACCGGCCCAAACCGGGCCCGAACCGGCCGGGCCGGTTCACCAAAAACTGGGCCCGAGCCCGGACCGCCCAGCAGCCGGGCCGGGCCGAACCGAACCGGGGCCCCGGGCCGGGCCGGGCCAAACAGTAACCGGGCCGGGCCGCCCGGCCCGAGTCCAGCCCTACTAAAAATGCATATGTCACAATAGTAAAAAAACCGAATGAAAATTCAAATCTGAGTTACAAAATTGACATTTACACACTAGCTATATCTCAGAGAGACGTCAGTAAATTAAGATGAATGCATATTATGATTGATTACACAAATGAGGAGAGTTCAAAGTTCATGCATCAGACTGTAATCACTGACATTTCATTCTCATGTTGACAGAGATCAGGAAATAGATGTTCCTTAAAGTGCCAAATACGTAGTATTCGTTAAGGTTTAGCTATGCTTTTGACTCCCAGGTTCCGTGTAACTCTTGCAGAAGGCCTCAGTACAGTAGCAAACAGGATGACCAGCTCCTTTCCAACCATTATAGCCGTTCTCCAAAACCATAATCCTCTTTATCCCTGTATTATCTTTTTCTGCCGTTTGAGAAAGATATTCTGCAAACGTTCGTGCACACCTTGGTCCCCGTATCTACAAAGTTAAGAGTGATTCTTAATAATTACGGAGTAATATTTAGCTTCAAAATGCCCCACATTATTTTACACAACAATAATTGATAAAAAGCAGCAAAAGGCTTGGGGCCTTTGAGCCTTTCAGTAAGATTCGGCATTTGGAAGGGTGACTTGAAAAGGACAAACAGTATACAAGGTGTGAAAACTATATGGACTAGAACACAAATTTCAACCCAAAGATATATGTTACACACACCACAAGCACAAGACATATGGTACACAACAAACAGTATTTAAGCATTAGTTCTAAAAGAGTTTGGAATTTATTAACATGATTCGACATTTGAAATCAGAGCTACAAAGATATTAAAAAAATAAGATAAGATAAAAAAGATGGGAAAAAATATTAAAATAAGATAAAAATAAGATAGAGATATTTTTTTAAGATAAGATAGAGATATAGAACATAAGAGAAAAAAGATAAGAAAGATATGTTACATATGCAGTATATTAAAAAATCAAATTTATCCTTATTTTGTTAAGTTTATGCAATTCTCACCACATTTCATATCCTGTAAAAATATTTATAATGATATAGTACTCAACTCTGTTTCAAGGACTAAAATACAAGGTAGATGCTTTTCAGCTCATCCTTCCAAACAGATAATTTTCAAACCCTTCCTAACAGATAATTTTTCAAGTGACCCATACAATTCATGTAAAAACTAAAACTAAAACATACACTAAAGCGCATCTGTATTTTACGCAACTCAAAGCCGATCATGGATAGATACTAAACAATATACAAGGTGTGAAAATTATATGGACAAACAAAATATTGTAAAACAGAGTTGCGCAAAATAGCATTTTAAATATTTCAAAATGCATAAATTTGAAATTTGGATAGAATTGCGTAAATTTAACAGAATAAGGATAAATTTGAAAATATTTTTGAAGAAAAAAAAAACAGCACATGTAATTTATCTTTCTTATCTTTTTTTTTTTTTTCCTTTTTTTCTCTTTCTTATATTCCTTATCTTTTTATCTATCTTATCTTTTTTATCTCTATAGTATCTTTATCTTTATTTTATTTTAATATTATCTTTTTTCATCTATCATGTCTTTTTATCTTTATCTTATCTCTATCATTATCTTATTTTTGTATTATCCTTTTTACCTTTTTTATCCTTTTTATCTTATCTTATTTTTTGTCTTTTTTAGCTCAGTTTTTTTATGAATCGAATTGTGTGAGGAGACCTCAAACTCTTTTGCAGTTGCATGTTATAGTTGTATATGATATACTATCGTATGTAATTATCGGGCGCAACCTATCGTTCCATTCACGATTCACCCATTCCCCCGCCCTACGCCACCCAACAAACACCCGATCAGAATGTCCAATGAGATCAAAGAAACTCATAAACAGCCAATCATTGCATCATACACGAAAAGTATCAAACCAGGAAAGGATTAGAATCCATTAAAGTATATTAGTTCATAGCAGCTGGGAATTTCTGAAAAAGAGATGAACATACCCTAGTACAAATGTACAACAGAGATTAACTACCGGATCATGCAACAAATGCATAACATAACACCAATATCAAGCCCACTGTTTTGATAGAAAGCCCAATTACCTTTAGATAGGGGCACCGGCAGGCTCAGAGATTTGTGAAAGGAGGGACACACTGTGCACTAAAATATGCTTTGTATATATTAACTCCAAATGTAATAAAATCATTAAAGAGTAAGTCATTAGCATAAATTATAGTTAATTACATACTAAATAGCTCATAACTGCAACCTCATAAATCAATTTTACAAGTTCTCATGTTTTGAAAATGTTGCATAATAGTTTCTAAAAACATCTCAAGCTTTATTGTGAAGAAATGTATTGATAATATTAGTTGCAAAGAGGGTTCTTTCAACAGCGCCTGATGCAACTTGCAACTAGTAACACTAAAACCAACTCAATCAAATGATATTTCAAGTGAAAAGAATTAGGTGAACTCTAAGCTCAGTCATCTTTTTACAAACTTCACCAGTACTTATAATGATATAGAATACTTCATTAGTTCTCATCCGTTTTCTCTCAAATTTTGAAATTTACCATTAGAACTCTACTCAAGCTCATTGTTTCAAGAATATTTTGATCTTTTTGTTAAAATAAATGTGACAATTTAATTGTCAACACCAACACTTTCTCCATCAAGTGAGTAATAAAAAACAAATTGATCACTCTCCATCTTTTTTACCAAGCTACTAGCAATGCCCCTTGATTTTCAACCAATTTCATCATCAAATATATTGTCAAGAATTTGATTGTAAGAGACCACATACAAAGAACATAAACAATGGTTGTATAATGGTGAAGCTCAATGTGTAGCTCTGTGCATGTGTAGCTCTATGCCGAGTAAAACTACTTTCTTGATATAATCCATTAATCCTTTCCCAATTGTAAGCTCACCCTTTTCTATAATCTTTACCATAGTTTCATATTGTTATTACCGAAACTCGCCTTTTCTTTTGCAAGAAGATCCAGCCATGTTGGTAAGCATGGATAATATTTAAAGAAGTCACTCACAAATTTATATATTTATGCAACGGCTACAACTAATTACAATTGGTGAGCAAATATGGATTTTCGTTCAATACGAGAGTTTTCATTCATTAAACTAATCACACATATTAAAAACTCTATCATGTCCTTGACCTCAACTTTGCACGCAGATAATCCATGCATAGTAAAAGAAATAATGATGGATTCCACTTTCTAAAGAAAGTGCCGTGGTGCTTAGCTCCAAGGAATCCCTCCATCACAATTCCGTGCTTATTTTCTTTTCCCCGAAGAGAGACACTAATTTTATCATAAATACTAATGCTAAATTCGGAGGTTAGAAGGAGGGGCACTTGCCCTTCCAAACCCCTAGATCCTCCACAGGATGGGAGCATGAATAACGCAGACAGCACATTTCAATATATGAGTATAAATTTGAAGAATCAATTACGTCAAAAGGTAAAGATAATCAGAAGTAGTCCATGAAAGATTAGATTGAGAACTTGTTAATCTTCACCTGGCTAAAAGCACAGTGGAACACAAGGGTATCTTTTCCATTGGTAGCATGAACAAGGCGGGGCATGTTGGCATTAAATGTTTCGCTACAAAAGTGAAGCGAACCAGCTATGTGACCATCGGAACTCCGTTCATCATCTCTGTATAAAAAAGATAGTAGTATATTAGATGTTCTATAGCTAAATAAATCGAAAATTTGAATTTTATAGCGATTAATTTAGGTAAAAAGGAATAGCTGTGCGTACCTCACATCGACTATGGCAACGGTTGGGAGACGCTTTGGACCGAGAAGATTAGAAGCTTTGATGAATTCTAAGCTCCGATTCATCTCTTCTTTATTGCTGGTTTTCCTGGGAACTTGCGCAGAGAAATAAGCAGTAAATCTTTTTATTTTTAATACAAAAAGCCTGATGCTTATTCGACCCATCCCTTTTGAGCTCAATCAACCCAACACTTGAGTTCCGGAAAAGACCAATATCGTTTGATCGTATATAAACTCGGCCCAGTTTAGACTTCAGGGGGTGTATTGTTTAAGAACAAAGAAGTAAAAGGAATCACTGGCAAAGTTTTAGAAAAAATTCCACTTTTGGTCCTTCGAATTTTGCACCAATTCCACAATTAGTTCTCGTCTTTCACTTTATCCATTTTTGGTACCTGACTATTGTTTTCTTGATCATATATAGTCCTTTTCCGAAAGTACAAATGCCCAGAGATGGATCGAAAATGGTCAAGAAAACAATAGTCAGGTACCAAAAACGGATAAAGTGAAAGGCGAGGACTAAATGTGGAAATGACACAAAACTCGGATGACCTATAGATTTTTAAAAGTCTAAAAAAGTTTAGTTGTATTCAATGTAGACTTTTAAAAGTCTAAAAAAGTTTAGATGTATTCAATGTAAAATTTTAAAATCTCAAAAAAGTCGACTCGTATTCAAATTTTCATTTATTTCTATTGACTTTTAAAATCACGGATTATCGTGGATTCTTAACTAATTTATAGTGCATAAATTCTATGACATTTTCTTTCTTCATCACCAAAACTTTTTGTGGACTTTTTCTTTTGTTTTGTTTTCTAGGATGTTTTTAATTGGACTAGAAATCTTTGATCTAATCTGATTTGGTCTGATCTGGTCTAATTTGGACTGATCTAGTAAATGTATGATCTTTGTGTATTTAATAACTATCCAACTCTAGTATGGTGTGGTATGGTTTAGGACTGATCTAGTAAATGTATGATCTTTTTGACGACCAAAAAGGAAAGCTGATATTTACTAGATCAGTCCAAATTTGAATTGGGTCGTCCCAATTCAAAAATCTTTGTCATTTAAATTAGGAAAAATTGAAAATAATAATCCCAATTATTGCCGGTCCACTGAAAATAATCTCAACTATTGATTATTTTTGTATAATCCCAACTATATAGACTATCCGCCAATAATGGTCCATGACCATATATTACCTCTATAAAAAGTGAATTTTAAATAGAAATTAAGCGTAAAAATTAAAAGTTGAGATTATTTATAAGGATTACTTGTTATATCTCACCTCATTGACTTTAGAAAGTACAAGAATTTATTCATAGGGTCCATTATTGGCGGAAGGTCCGTAAAGTCGGGATTATTCTGTAATAATCAATAGTTGGGATTATTATGAGCGGACCGTCAATAGTTGGGATTATTACTATCAATTTTTCCTTTAAATTAAAGTAACTAATATGTTCTTAAAACTATTTCTCTCTGTTTTCAAAAAAAATTATCTCTCATCTGCACAAATATCAATAACAGTTTCTAATAGAGTAGATTTTATATTTATTTATTATTGGGGACTTATATTGTAATTATGACATTTACTCTATATATATATATCTGTCAGGGCTACCAATATGGTGAAGTCTGATTATTATTCTCACATGGTATCAAGAGCCAAAATCCTATTACCCTAAAAAAATCGGCCAAATGTCTTCTTCAGCCAATAACTCTACCTCAGCCGCGGCTGGTGTCTCCGCCGCCGGAAATAACTCGACCTCCATGTCTGCGCCCGTCCACACATCTGCGGCTGCGGCTGGAGGCGCTGCCTTCTCCCTCGCGCTCGGTTCGTCCGCGGAAGGGTCTTCGACGTCCGCTGCCTTCTTCTCTCTGGTCATCTCTCAGATTGCTTCCCTACAGCCCTCCTCTCATCTCTCCTCTACCTCGGATGGGATAGGTTGGGTTCCACCGGTCTTCAATTGGTCTTCTACCATGCCAACGATTCAATCCTCTCCGGATGAACGTGCTGCGGCCATGCCTCTGTTTTCCAGCAACCGAGTTACTTCTGTTGACAATTCCGGTTCCAGCTTTGCCGGTCCTACTTTTGTCGGCGCACCAGGCATAGCGCCACTGTCGACTTCTGCTTCCCTTGGTCCGATAGCTCCATGGACTGTTACGTTTTCTCCTGGTTTCAATTTATCGGAGTTAGTTAAAAACATTGGTTTTTCGGCACTTAATATTATTAATATTGTTACTACGAAACTAGCTGCCGTTGAGGATTATTTGACTTGGCGTACTCAATTTGAGTCGTTCTTGGTGTCTAATGGATTTTTGGGGATTTTAGATGGTTCCATCCTGCTCCCTCTCTGTATATTTTTTATGCTTATCATCACGAGACTATTAATCCAGATTATTATAATTGGCTGAAACTGGACCAAACTGTGCGTTCTTGGTTGTTTGCTACTTTATCTCGTGATGTGTTAATTGAAGTGCGTGAATTGAAAATGCTTTTGGTATCTGGAATCGTTTAGAATCTCATTTTATGTCTGCTAGTCTTGCTCGTTCCATGGAACTGAAACGGAAACTTACACACTCTAAGAAGCGTTCAAATCAGTCCATGGAGCATTATCTTCGTGACATTAAGGACATTGTTGATCGTCTTGCTGCTATTAATGCTCCGGTGTCTCGTAGAGAATTGTTTCAGTATATTTTGCTTGGTCTTGGTCGTGATTATGAGTCTCTTATCACGTCGGTGGATCTTTTTCCGGATAGCTTTACCTTTGAAAATCTTTGTACCAAACTTGTTGAAAAGGAGCAAAGCTTGCAGTACATGAATGCTCAGGAGGGGTTAAATCCTGACCAAGCCTTTGCGGGTCAGGTACAACCGGGGGGACAGCCCCCGCATGGCGGTGGGAAACCGCAGCGGGGCGGACAACAGCAACCCGCAGGTGGACGACAACCGCATCCGGCTGGAGGACAGGCTCCTCGGGGCAGGGGCAACCACGGACGTGGTGGCCGTGGACAGCGTGGTCGCGGCGGTCGTGGTCAGCGAGGTCGTGGTGGTTATGGTTATCCTCCACAGTTTGGTTACGGTTATCCTCCACCGGGGTTTTTTCCAGGGGGTGCATCGCATGCTGGCATTCTTGGGGCTCCAGGTTTAGCGGGTATGTCTATTCAGTCAAATTTTTTTACTTATGCTTTATCTACTTTTTCTACTAACCATGGCTATGTAGGCTCCTCTTCAGCTGAGGGAAATTCAGTTCCCCCTCCGGTTATTTGCCAAATTTGCTATGCTCCAAGTCATCCCGCTTCCACTTGTCCCTCTCGATTTGTTCAGCCGGCTGCATCTGCTCTTGCTGCTCAGGCTCCTGATGCTTCTGAGATAGTTTGGTATCCTGATTCAGGTGCCTCAGCGCATATGACCCCTCATTCAGGTATTTTAACTAATAAATCATTTTCTCTTCATTCTCATTCTATAATTGTAGCAAATGGACATACTCTCCCGGTTATGCATTCAGGTCAAGTTGTATTATCTTCATCTGCCAAACCTCTTCACTTGAAATCTGTTCTGCATGTGCCTAGCTCACATTAAATACAATCTTTTGTCTATTCAAAAATTATGTGTTGATACAATCTTCCACCTATGAGAAGGTTGGTGTCAGAATTCGAGAGACGGATTATTGCTTAGCGGGCAGCAGGATACTTGACGGATGTGGCCAAAAGTCTTTTGAAAGTGCAGACGGTTTATGAGAAAGAAATGTTTTAGTGAAACCTTGGACTAGAAGGCGCGCTTTATAACGCTCCAAACACCAATGCTGAATCTTGTCAATCCACTTCAAACCCACTCCTTTTTTGCTTGGAATTCGCCAAAGTGAAAGTATGAGTAGGAAGCAATGCATGAAATTCAATTCATCCATCTGCCATAGCCCCAACTGGCGATGCCTAACTTAAATCTATAAATCGAAAAAGAAGTGAGTTCAGTTTCAGGCACAGACCGTTCACAATTCACTTTGCCTCCGCACTCGCCTTCCTTCTAACGATTGAACTGGAGTCTGAGCTCCTGAAAGAAGGATGCCTCATGTTCCTTCCTCTCTTCCTAAAGTTTTTCATAATAGTCTGTGTGCCTTATATTTAATTCACTCAGGTGTGTGGCAGTCTCCTGTGTTATCCCATTTAGGTTTTAAATATTATGTGTGTTTTGTGGATGATTTTTCTTGTTTTACTTGGATCTATCCCATGTGGCGTAAGTCTGAGGTTACTACTCATTTTCATCATTTTAAATTAATGATTGAAAATTTACTTGACCGCAACATCAAGATTTTTCAAAGTGATGGAGGGGGTGAGTTTGACAACTTTAGTATGCGAATTTTTTTTAATGATAATAGAATTGTTTTTCAAAAATCTTGTCCCGAGACTCCACAACAAAATGGAGTTGCTGAGCATAAGCACAGACATTTACTTGAATTAGCCCGTACTATGCTTATTACGGCTAGTTTACCTGCTACTTTTTGGGTTGATGCCGTGCTTACTGCTACTTTTATAATTAATCGAATACCCTCTCCTACTCTTCATGGTTTGTCTCCCTTTGAAAAACTTTTTAATACCAAACCTGATCTGTCCATTTTTCATGTTTTTGGTTGTGCATGTTTTCCCAATTTTACTGCTTCTTCCGCAAATTAGTTGCATCCGCGGTCTGTCACGTGCATTTTGTTGGGTTATGCACCTGAATATAAAGGGTACCGTTGCTTTGATCCTACGTCTAGTCGTGTTTATATTAGTAGAAATGTCAGATTTGTAGAAACTATTTTTCTGTATGTTGATCTTACTAGGTCCAATGTGTCCTCTTCTACAATGCCATCAACTGCCTCTCTCATTTTTAATCCCAGTCGTGACCATTCTTCAACTCACACCCATCCCTGCATACTTCAACCCACGCCAATACCTACACTGCCATCTCCCCCCGTTTCTTCTGCCCATCCCAGTAGCCCGCAGCCGCAGCCCACAACCGCCCCACCTGTTTTTTCTGCAATCGTCCCAAGTCTGCCCCATGACCATCTTCATTCTGCAGCAGACTCTGTTCCTGAACCTGCCTCTGCCACACCCGAACGCAGTTCCCCACCCCAGCAGCCGGGTTCTTCTTCGGCCGAGCCCCTTGTCACTTCTCTGGACAGTTCTAATCCCGTTGTGAATATTCACCCCATGCAAACCCGGTCCAAATCTGGAATTTTTAAACCCAAA